GCACACACGCACACACACAAATCCCCCCCCCCCAAAAAAAAAAAAAAATGCTTCAACCCACTAGAGGAGGTGATATGGGCATCCCCCAATAGTGCACTTACAGTAGAATGCTCCTGTCTCTTGGTGGGGAGTGACACCTGCAGGAAACCTGGTCCAGCGTCCCATGAACATCGTGAATAAAGAACCAGTCGGGACCCCACACGCACACACAGTCTTGGAGTTATATATAGCGAACATCATAAAATATATACACAACATAATCACTACCTTACCCTTTCCCAACCACATCAACAAACAAACTACGGGATGCACACCCGTGCCCTCACAATAAGTCCATGGTCAAGGCAAGTTACCAAGAGGATGCATAGTGCGAGATTTGCAAAGCTAGAGGTACCAACAACCCTTTCTCAATTGGTACACCCGTAAACTATTGAAATCATCTCCCACCCCATGGGATCTTTGTTTCTCAACCAATGCAGCAAATCCACAAGTAGGTAAGGCCTAGTTAGGCACTCTTTGGTAATGCTATTCCAAGGAATTCACCGACATTCCATAGGTCATTGCTCCCCCTGGTGTGTGTGTGTGTGTATTTGTGTGGGTTGTGTGTCCACCCATAAACTACTTAAATCATCACCCACCCCATGGGATCTCTGTTTCTCAACCAATGCAGCAAATCCACAAGTAGGTAAGACCTAGTTAGGCACTCTTTGGTGATGCTATTCCAAGTAATTCACCGACATTCCATAGGTCATTGCTCCCCCTGGTGTGTGTGTGTGTGTATTTGTGTGGGTTGAGTGCGACCTTAGACACACCTGATGCTTGATAAAGCTGGAGGAAGCAGATGGGAGTGGTAGCCACTAACAAAATGTTTGGTTTTTTTGTTAACTTTCTCTCCTGCTGGTGGCGCCAACACCTTCATCGGTGGGCCACCTAATTGGTGCAAGTAGGACCTAGCCTTAGGTTATAGGTTTTAGACGTTACAACTTTTGGTTAAAGTTGGCAATTTTGTAGTCCTCCTCTAATTTTGCACAGTAGAAGAGCAGTATGGTTTTAACCCTTCTTTCTTTTTTTGGTACAACATTGGTCTTGCTCTTGAACCAAGCTAATAATGCATCGTTCATCCCTCAAGTTCATACAAACTGCGTTGCAACGTGTACACACCCCGTACGAGTACGGATTCATACTCTTGCACTCGTACTCTACTTGTACACTAGGGGGGTCGTATGACTTTTTTTTTCGATCTTTGTGGAAGTGTTTATGGAGTCGAAAAACATGAAAACCGCATGAAAAAACATGTTTGGGGGGGAGTGTTATGGTGTAAAAATGATCCAAATAGCCACCCGCGAAGTCCCACTTTAGTTTGGGAGAGTGACATAGTGTAAAAATACAAAAACGTTGGAGCACCTATCGATATTGCTGGAACAACAAGTTTTTTTTTTTTTTTTTAACACATCCTAGACAGGCAACTATTGATGATTAGGTTATAGGAACGCTTGTCCAGTCGGAGTCTGGCCATTTAGATAACTCCTTTCTGTTGTAGCAAGTTTTCTGCAATAAATTTTATTTTATTTTTTTATCGGTTTTATTTTGATTTTTCCCCTCATATTCTAATAGAAATCTGTACATGATGCTCCGTCAAATATTGCCTAATTTGTACTGGTACATGCATATGTATTATATACATATGTATATAAATCTAATATATTCTTTTTTTTTCAGATCAAGAACACTATATTCAAGAATATCAATATATATATAGCTGAGCCGTATGAAAAGGAAATTTTCAAGTTCGGTTCTATGGGTACCTTTCATGGTGCGCAATGGTATATTGAAGGATCCCTGGAGGCCGAAGGCCCTGGAGCCGTAAATCATGGAACTCTGTATAAGATCATCCGGCGAACAATCCGAGGTACAAACATAGTTTTTTTTTTTTTTTTTTCAAATGCAAAACGTACGAGATGACGTACAGGGTCTTGTACATGTCTCATACATACATTATCTGTATGTTTCGTACCGAGAGACCCCGTATTTGTATGTTCAGTAATGTAGACGATAAGTCAATATTTGGGGCAAGTTTCAGTCAATAACGACCATGTGTTTCATTCGGGTGATTGCGACATGCCACTTGGAAACTCACGGGTGCGTAGGTCGGACACCATTCCACATCGCCCCAATCTCGTTTTGGAGGGCAATTATTCTACCCACCTTTTCTGACCTGCCCTTGAGTTTCAAATACACCATAGGATAATCGGGCTTATTTTCTAGTTACCTTCATGTTCAAGTCACTTTGGGGAGGTGAAAACTTTTGAAAATTATCTCTGGCGAAAACGAGAAGTCTTTATTGCTTCCCTTGGGTTGAGGCGCTCTCGTTCGTGGTGGCTGATTGTTGTTATTTCCTGCCTACAAGCTGTTTAAGAACGATTCATAAAGTTGGGCAAAACGAGAACTGTAATTATTACTTTTCTAACACGGTTTCAACTCTAGTGCCACATTAGAGTTTGACTAATTGTTTTTGCTTCCTGCCTATAAGTTGTTCAAGGGCGATTTATAGAGTTGCCATTAGGCAAAATGAGAACCGTAATTAATATTTTTCTAACATGGTTTCGACTCTAGTGCCACAGTAGAGTTTCAGGTCAAGAGAAGTGGTCTGGAACGAGGCCCAACGTTGAAAGATTTGCTATCTGGGGGACGGTCCCACTAGCCAACTGCTTTGCTTGCGCAAAGTCTATTACGACCGTAGTGAGCTGCGATGACCACAAAGTGACTACTCGATCTCTACCTTGTTTCTTTGTTTGATGTGCAGTCCTTTCCTTTACGAAAACAAGTAATTCAGTGCGCAACAACCCATAGCTGCAGCAAACGCCCGTGGGCAAAACTTGTGTGTTCCCACGCAAAACTTGGGAAGTATTTTTTGCAGGTGTGTGTCGCATCTGGACTCAGCAAGGGAAAAAAAAAATAAAAAATGCAAAGACACATGGCCAATATAAGGGGCAATTCGGTCCTCTGCACTAGCAGACATGAGTGATAGTAAAAGGGGGCGGTTGTAGAACGTGGGGCGGATCACACCATGCGAACCTGATGCAGTATGGGACATACGGGTCGGGCATTTGTATGCGGGATAGGGTTGGGCAACAACATTGGGATGTGGGTCGGGAAGTGTTATATAGGACATGTTAAACTATGTGGACCAGGCGATACTGTGTGGGCACGAGGACAACATGCACTTTGGTGATACTAACGTCGGTGGTACTATGCGGAGCGGCGCAGGACATAATATATGAACTGAATGGCATGATGTGGACTGGGCGGTAGTGTGTGGGGTGCATGGGAAAAACTATGTAAGTTGCAGGGCATAAATAATCCCCTGGAACCCCCCAACAAAACACAGAAAAAAAAAAGTCAAACGACCAAGAGATATGGATGCATCTGACCACAATTAAATCCACTGGTGATTCTGTTGTACCTAGCATTAGTGCCAGTGTTCCATTTTACTGTTGGACTCTACTATTGTGCGCACAATGTTCGCACGACGATGTTTGAGACTCCACATTCTTCCATAGTAAGTGGCGAAACTCTT